ATGGAAAACTAAAAATGAATTTTCACATTTATATTTCAAGTGTAGTTTGTTCATACGTGTTGCTTAAGCACCACAACCAAATCCCGTAGCTTAGTGAGGGTTATATAGTATAACTTTTTCATTTACCGCCCATGAAAAGGGTTTCCAGTTGCAGATCATTGATATTGGAGTTAAGAAAATATCCCCCCCAAAGGGCAACATATAGAATCCTTAATTGAGTTACGACGCCCGGTTTAAATGTTACTGAAATTCACAGATTTTTCTTGAATGCCTTACATCTACAGGGTTCGAGAATGTTTTAGAATTTTCTAAAAGGTTCGAGAACGTTCTCGAATGATAACTAGTTTTTCCTGAGCGAGGCGAGGGCAATTCGGAATATCGTAGAAGACTCACTGAAGACATTTTTATATAAATAATCATGACCAGATACGTCATGCTGTATCAGTTAACTTCTTATCTTAGTTATAATATATAAAAAATTTAAATTGAAAGTTTAAACAGCGTGTCTAACAGGTATTAATGATCGAGGAACACCTGTCAGCCATTAAATATCTAAACACTTACTGTAGTAATTATCATATCAGCTTATGATTAGCTGATTTTTTTGGAGAAGTGCAGCCATTAAAGTCAATTAGCAAATTAACATCAGCTTAACTAAACCGGTAAAATTTCTAATTTTACGATTAAACCATTTAATAATATCCAATCGATCAACTTGTCCTTTTTAAATATACGCAGGTGTTTATATGTACTACAGTTTCACAACGAAATAATTAAGGAAGAGATTTTATACGTATTTCCACTTTGAGTTGGGGTTTAAAATTAATGGAAAAAATGTACCTTGTATTAAAAAAAAAGGAGCAATAATAGGGGTTGTAGAATTAGTTTATTATGAAAACAATTTACCAACGTTTCGTCCCGTGTGCGGGGGTTTTTCGAGGCTACAAAAATTATTGAGTTACTATAGTTTTTTAATTAAATGAAAACATTAATCGATGTGATTCTACAACCCCTATTTTTGCTCCTTGTTTTTAATTATTGGCTTAGAACAAAATAATTAATGAACATTTCAATTGGGTAAATAAATAATGTCCTTTACAAGAGCGTATGGTGCATTCAGGATAAATGATCGCAATTTCGATCTTGTTGGTCTGTCGAAACCGTCTGCGACGCGCTGATGAGATCCAGCATGATCAAATTCGCGATTATTCGATCGATTACGCGATCGAAATAAATTGCAACTTGTTAGGACCACGCAGAGTTCTGCTGCTGACCGAATAAAGGCGTTCCCGTTTTATTAAATTAATGTTACTTACTTATTCTTTTTTTACATGATTATTAATGCTTTCGCAATAATAATAACAAAAATAAGTTTTCTGAGGGCAGACGGACAGACAAGCAGGCGGTTATTAAGCATGCAGCAAGCCTCAGTTGGGCTGTGTAACTCCTTTATTCATCAGAGCAGAAAATGAGGCGTGGTAAGTAAAAGAGAGAAAAAGGAAATTATAATAACTTGTTTTCATAACACAATAAACAGTTCACTTCAATTTAATTATTACCTTGAAGCGCTCACGTACGAGAAACTGCGCTCTACATTTATCGGTAGTGTAAAAAAAAGTACCTACATTTTAGGTTCACGTACGATTATTATTTGTTTACGTAAATCATAAGTTTCTACTGACCTGACGTGCCAATTTCTATTAAGAAACTCTTCTTTCTTCTAAATTCATAACATATTATTAACATTTCTTAAAACATGATTCAAGTTTTTATTCCGTGAATGAATTATCGTTTTATATTACCAAATTCTTATTACCTAGATACCATTCAAATTGGGTGTATTTCAAATATTTGGTACTGCTATTATACAGAATATATGTTCGGAAATACCTTTTATGAATTGACCATTTAGTTTGACCCACATATCCTATTAACTTTTCTTTTTTTCATAAAGAAGTAATTGAACAAAGGATTAAATGCCCTAAATACTCATTAGAATAAGCAATGCTGGGTATATTTTCTTTCAAATGTAATATAAATGACTAACTGTATGTTCTCCAAGGTTAATAAATGATAATAATGAAAAACACATATTGCTACTGTTAGTGTGTAACTAATATTTTTATAGTGACTCATTACATAAGTGAAAGTTGACTGACTAACTACAGTTCTGTTTAAAACCTATACAAAAGCTGGAAACCTGTTACAACCATGTTTATCAAAACTTTAATAACGTATTCATAAAGAAAGGAAAAAAAAAGCCTTTCAGAAATTAAATTAATTATTATTTAATAAAATGCCTTTATAATAAATCTTGACATTTCAGTTATTTATGAATCGATTTTAATTTGTTTTTATAAATAGTTATCATTCATTACAACAGAAATTTTTTCTTATATTTCATTTAGAACAAAAATTCAAAAGAAATTATTGGTATTGTGCATTAAGTAAAATTTTAAGTAGAAAAGTGCAGAAATTTCTACTGCAAAAACATCAGATTAATTAATTCAGTTCTCAAGACTTATGTTTCTAACAAAAGAAGTAATTAGGTTGGGAGAGCAATGTCGCTAGCATGCAAGTCTTTTATTCTCTCGATGTCTCTCTTGTTCATTAGAAAAAGTAACAACAAGAAAAAGAAAACACTGCCAGGAAAATCTCATTATAAACGAAACACGTCTGCATGGTTATGGTAGAACGTGATCTCACGTTGACAACAATCAGAGAAAAACAACGTGACTTCTGATTTGTGTAGATTGAACGCGTTTTCTTATCAGTTCGTGTGTTATCACACAGGTGTTTCTAAGAGGAAAATAGGCAACTAAAACTATTACTAAAAATTACTAATATTTAAATTGCTTATATTTTTATTTCTATAGATAAACACAATACCAATTTTTCGCGAAGTTCTACTACTTTTGAAAAGGACATACATGGAAAAAAATACAAATTAGTTAACCGACGATTTTAATTAAATAAATTGTTGATTGAAATTGCTTCTGATTGTAGGAGCATCGTAGGGTAAAAAATAATCTATATGCCATATTGTGATTTTACATTGCTTTAGGGGAAAATAGTTTCGACTTTAAATATTTGCTNTACTGTTAGTGTGTAACTAATATTTTTATAGTGACTCATTACATAAGTGAAAGTTGACTGACTAACTACAGTTCTGTTTAAAACCTATACAAAAGCTGGAAACCTGTTACAACCATGTTTATCAAAACTTTAATAACGTATTCATAAAGAAAGGAAAAAAGCCTTTCAGAAATTAAATTAATTATTATTTAATAAAATGCCTTTATAATAAATCTTGACATTTCAGTAATTTGTAGACAAAATTGTATTTTCTGCATAAATAGTATTATAAGAAATGTCTGGCAACGACATATCTCCCCCTTTAGTTTTGAAATTAGTTACTTAAACTAAAATTATGAAAAAAGAACTGAGTTTCCCGGGAAAATGTCAGGAAACATTCTGAGGTTTGTAGTTTTAGAGAAATCGGTGTTAATTT